CAGGCGGGTTTGCGCGGCGACGTCTCTGTTTGGCACGTCCAGGTGCAGCGGGCATGGCAGCCGGCGGACTCAGCCTGCAGCATCGCTGGGTGTTCTTGGGCCTTTCCATTCTAGTCGGCCTAGACTCGGGGGGTTTGGTTGTTGTTTCGATATATGTCGCCCTGCTGACTGATCACGCTGAGCACGTTTTCACACGCTTGTTGAACGTTGGTGTTAGTGTGTGTTTATGAGGGCTTCCCAGGGGCTCAATGGTAAAAACTCTGCCTGCAATGCAGGAGCCGCAGGTTCCATTCCTGGGCCGGGAAGATCCCCTGGAGGAGAGCATGGCAACTCACTTCAGTATTCTTGCCCACAGAATCCCATGGACACATGAGCCTGCCAGGCTACAGTCCATACGGGCACAAAGAGTCAGACACGACTGAAATGACTTAGCTTGTATGCACGGGTGTATATGAGGTGTCTGTTCTGGGCTTACCCATTTAAAAAATTGGGGGGTTTGTCTTTTTAATTTAGTTTTGTTAAAAATTTTTTTTATTGGAGTATAGTTGATTTACAATGTTGTGTTAGTTTCAGGTATATGGCAAGGTGAATCAGTTACACATGTATCAATACCCACTGTGTTTTTTTTTTTTAAAGATTCTTTTCCCAAATAGACCATTACAGAGTATTGAGTAGAATTCCCTGTTGTATATAGCAGGTTCTTATTAGTTGTCCAATTTATGAATAGTAGTTTGTAGGGGTTTGTCTTGTTTAAAAAATAGTTACTCTTTATTGAAGTATAGTTGATCATCTTCTGTTTTTTTTTTAAATTAAGTAATGATTTATTTGGCTGTGTCAGATCTTAATTGCTGCATGGGAACTTCTATTTGTGGCATAAGGATTTAGTTCTCTGACTCAGGGATTGAACCCCATCCTCTGGAATTGGGAGCCCAGAGTCTTAGCCGTTGGACCACAAGGGAAGTCCTAAGTTCATTTTCTATGTTTGTGAGTCTCATAGAGGAACTATACAAAAAAAGATCTTAATGATTCAGATAATCACGATGGTGTGATCACTCACCTAGAGCCAGACATCCAGGAGTGTGAAGTCAAGGGGGCCTTAGGAAGCATCACTATGAGCAAAACTAGGGGAGGTGATGGAATTCCAGCTGAGCTGTTTCAAATCCTGAAAGATGATGCTGTGAAAGTGCTGCACTCAATATGTCTGCAAGCTTGGAAAACTCAGCAGTGGCCACAGGACTGGAAAAGGTCAGTTTTCAGTCCAGTCCCAAAGGGCAATGCCAAAGAATGCTCAAACTACCGCACAATTGCACTCATCTCACATGCTAGCAAACTAATGCTCAAAATTCTCCAAGCCAGGCTTCAACAGTACATGAGCCGAGAACTTCCAGATATTCAAGCTAGATTTAGAAAAGGCAGAGGAACCAGAGATCAAATTGCCAACATCCACTGGATCACAGAAAAAGCAAGAGAGTTCCAGAAAAATATCTACTTCTGCTTCATTGACTATGCCAAAGCCTTTGACTGTGTGGATCACAACAAACTGTGGACAGTTCTTAAAGAGATGGGAATACCAGACCACCTGACCTGCTTCCTGAGAAACCTATACGCAGGTCAGGAAGCAACAGTTAGAACTGGACATGGAATAACAGACTGGTTTCAAAGTGGGAAAGGAGTACGTCAAGGCTGTATATTGTCACCCTGCTTATTTAACTTATATGCAGAGTACATCACAAGAAATGCTGGGCTGGATGAAGCACAAGCTGGAATCAAGATTGCCAGGAGAAACATCAATAACCTCAAATATGCAGATGACACCAACCTTATGGCATAAAACGAAGAAGAACTAAATAGCCTCTTGATGAAAGTGAAAGAGGAGAGTGAAAAAGCTGGCTTAAAGCTTAACATTCAAAAAACTAAGATCATCATATCTGGTCTCATCGCTTCATGGCAAATAGATGGGGAAACAATGGAAACAGTGAGAGACTTTAATTTTCTTGGGCTCCAAAAATCACTACATATGGTGACTGCAGCCGTGAAATTAAAAGACACTTGCTCCTTGGAAGACAAACTATGACAAACCTTACCAGTGTATTACAAAGCAATTTTGCCAACAAAAGTCAGTCTAGTCAAAGCTATGGCTTTTCCAGTAGTTATGTATGGACGTGAGAGTTGGACCATAAAGAAAGCTGAGCTCTGAAGAACCGATGCTTTTGAACTGTGGTCCTGGAGAAGACTCGTGAGAGTCCCTTGGACAGTTTTGGTTATTGTAAATAATAGTGGTGCTGTGAACACTAGGTGCATGTATCTTTTTGAAGTGGAGTTTTCACCTTTTCTGGATAAATGCCCAGGGTAATGTTTTATTTTCTAAACGTTAACTTGATAAAATGATCGTCTAGAAGCACCCTGGGCTCGGAGCCCCAGGCCTTAGGGATCAGTGCCTGAGAGACGGGAGTGGGGTCTCTGGGAAATGGGGGGCTTGTGCCCGCCCGCCCCGGGGCCCTCTGAGGTGGCCCTGTGCTGCCTGGACCTTTATTTAGGACAATCCTGTTCACAGGAATCCTACCAGTGAAAACTATCCTGTGTTTTGTGTGGCAGCAGCCAGATTTTTCTAGTGGAAAAAATAAAGGAACAAAGACCTGCCCACCTCTCCAGAGTTACTGCCGCAACTTGGCTGAGGGTCAGAAATCCAGGAGGTGCGCACACCAGCCCTGTTGTAGGTGATCCTGTGACCCGTGGGGAGAGCTAAGGCGACCCTGCGCTGGGGCAGAGGAGCCAGCCGGGAGAAGTATGGGGGCCGATGGGAGTGCCTTGTGTTTGGGCTGTGCTGATTATCTGGGTGCACAGATCTGTCAGGGCCTATCACGCTCTCAATGGCTGCATTTTATTGTATGTAGATTACACCACAGTAAAGTTGATTTTTAGGAATGTGAATGATAAACTTAACGCTTTTCTTTCAACCTTGATTAAAATGAAAAGAAGCCATGCCCCAAAAGACGTCTTGGGACACTTGAGAAGGAGAACTTTATTGACAAAATAACCTTGAGAACTCCAAGTCCTGGGTTACTCATTACTTTGCCCTGAGATAAGGGAGTGGGAGGCTGGGGAACCGGGAACAGGGAGCAGGGTGCAAAGGCTGACCCTCCTCTGTGCCCAGGCCTGCCCTGGGCACTCAGGAGCAGGGCGTCCTGAGTGTGGCCTGGCCTTCCACCTCCCGATGGCCACACGGCAGCACCTTGTTCACCTGACCTGCAGCGTCAGGGCTCTGGGGGAGAAGGGGACGAGGTCCCCCGGCTTCGGGGTTCTCCTGGGGCGGTGCAAGTGTAATCGGTCAGGCCCCGGAGGTGTAAGCCCCAGTGCACATGAGGCTGACTTTTGTCCACACCCAGGAGTGCTTCCGCTTTTCATCTGATCAGTCCGTTGTTGGACAGTTTTAATTCTTAGAAAGTTCTTCAGCACAAACCTCTCGTCGGGTAAGAACAAGGCAGAGCACAAGATACAGCCCAGCCTGCCTGATGACCCGGCCTGGATGCTGCTGTCAGAGTAGAGATAGGGCATCCCAAGGCTGCAGCGCTTCCTCCTCTGGCCCTGCTTTAAGCTGGGCACATCACTGAATAAAGACTGCCCTTCCCAGCCTCTCTTGCAGTGAGGTTGGTCATGTGACTATGTTCTAGCCAATGGGATATGAGGAGATTTGGCAAAAGAGGCTTCTAGGAAGTGTCCTGGAAGAAGGCCCAGGCTCTAGTTCACCTCTTCCCCTCCCCGCCCCTCCTCCTCCTCCTCCTCCTCACAGTTGGCTGGAATGCAGTCTTGATGGCTGGATAGGGCTGCCGTTTTGAGCCATGTGAATGGAAGTCCACCCAGCAGAACAGCAACCTGTATCCTAATGCCACATACCAGCCCAATACCACCTACTCTAACTTCATGATGAGAAATACATTCTGTCTTGTTTACATATTATCATATTCCTTTGGAAAGTTTGTGAGACATTTTGGGCTTGGCTCCCTTGGGGGTTCTTGTCCACAGGGTACCAATGAGGGTCCCCCAGACATGAAGAGGCAGATTTTACCCACCAGGGGTAAACCTGGTCTCTAGGCCCCCACTTCTGAGCTGGGCAAGAGTTCGGACAGAGAGAGAAGTGTTTTCCTTGGTCACGCCCAGCACAGACACTTTCTGTGGAATGGGGGATGGGGCAGGGAGATGGCCGGCAGATTGCAGTCCCAGGACCAGCCTCATCTGGCCGCCGGAGTCGTGCCCACCACTGGGCCCCTCTGCTAGGGCTCCAGGCTCTGTGGATGTGCCACAAGCGCCCACGACTGGACCTGGTGGTTCTGACGGATGCAGTCTGTGTCTTGAAGCGAGTCACGTGGTGGCCATGTCCACAGGGCTTGGGCTCATCCTATGTCCTGCTGACTGTCCACTCTTTGTGGCCCGGAGCCCTGGAATGTCCTTCCTTCCCCTTTTGACCAAATAGGAGAACAGCACACTACAGCCAGTCACTCCACGAGGGCCGTGATGGGCTCACTTCCCCCGGCCCTGGTCTGGGTCTCTTTCTGGGGCCTGTAGAAGCCACGATGGATTGTACAAAGATCAAGTAATCAGCCACTGCAGTCACTGACCTACAGTGCACCCTGAACAGAATTCAGGATGAAAGACGGGATGAGGCACTTTGTGCTTTGGGAAAACAGGCCCCTTAGACAGTTAGATATATTTCAGGAAAACTTGTGGCGTCTTTCCATACATAGAAAAGCCAAATCATCAATGCTCCCAGCTACCTTCTACTGAAATGTGTGCTTGGCTGCAGCATGACGGGTGTTCACCCCCACCGCCCCCCGGGGGGCTCCCCCCACCCCCCAGGCCAGGTCACAAGGATACTGGCTCCTCCCCCACTGTTAGGGAGCAGCCCCTCACTCAGAGCGATGGGAAGCTGTCTCCTGGGCTATAGTGCTCCCTAAGATCCTGAATAAAACTCAGCTCAGGACACTGAAAACTGTGCATTTTCAATGTCCGTCAATAGGGTCAACACAGCTGCCCCTTCCTTGGACTGCCGACCTGCTCCAGCGCCCTACCCGCCGGGCAGCGGACCTCCGCGGTCGCCCCTTCACAAGGTGCCCCCGGGCCTGGCCGGTGCTGTCACCGCAGCGGCGACCGACCGAGGCCTGCAGGGCGCTGTCCCCCGCGGGCACCTGAGCCAGGCCTGCGAGCAGCGCGACCGCCTTCGGCTCGAACCCTGACCGTAGGGTCCCGGCCCTCAGCCGCCCCGGGCTCCTCGGAGAAGACGAGGTCGCGGGCGCCGGGCCCGCGAGTGGTGCTCGGAGGACCCCTGGGGCGGGATCCGCAGCAAGCGGGGGTCGTGCGGCCCGGGAGCCCCTGCCCCTGGCGCAGTGTCAGCGGCGGCCGCGGGGCGGCAGCACAGCCCGCGCCGCCGGCCTCCCCGCCCGGGTCCGAGCCGGGCCTTGGGCGCTGCTCGCTGTCTGCGCTCGAGGGCGCCCCGCCGGCGGACCGAGAGCCGGGTTCGGAAGACACTCGCTTTCAGTCGTCGTCGCCCCTCGGACGCCGCATGTCCTTTCCGGCCGTCTCGCCCCGCCCCCTTTCGCCGCGACCGGGGGCCCCCCCGGGCACCGCCTCGGGGGGCTAGTATCCAACCTCCCGGGCCGGGGGGCAGCGGGGCCGTCCGGCTCCCCGTCTCGGCCCAGTCCCCCGCCTGCAGGGGACGCACCGGTGGGCGCGGGGGCGGGAGCCTCCAGAACCAGCCGGCCTCCCCAGGCCGCGACCCCAGAGCAAGGTGACAGCTGGTCTCTACCCCGCACACCCCTCGGGCGGCGAGTGGTGTGCGGGGCGGGGGCCCCCGCGGGTTCTGAACGCAGAGATCCGGCCTCTGGGAGCTACCGCCCCCCGTCACCCCGCCCCCTGGCCGGGCCCCATTGCCCCGCCGCCCCCCACTGACGAGCCCCCGGCCTCGCCACGCCGGCTCCTCCCGCCGGGGCCCCCGCCCCGCTCCCCGCAGCCTCGCCGCCCCCGCCCGCCGATCCCTGCCGCCCCCCAGCCCCGTCCTCATTAGCATAGCAGCTGCTCGCCGAGCGGACCCGCGCGCAGGAAAGGGCAGAGGCCTCGGGAATGAATGGGGCCCGCGGCTTTGGAGGGGGCGCGAGAAGAAAGATCGACAGACGGACGCGAGCCGCGGCGACCCGACGGACAGCCAAGCAGAAGAATGCGCCGGGCAGAGAGGAGGGGAGCCCGGGCTGGCCGCGGCGGGGCGGTGGGGGAGGGGCCTCCCCAAACCCAGGAGCCCCGGGAGGGGGTGCCCAGGAGGCCTCGGGAGGCGCCCTCGGCGGTTCCCAGACCTCCCGGGGCCGCGCGGGCAGACTCTGGCCTCGGGCTTTGTTTCCCAGTTGCCCCCAGAGCCTGGCAAGCCGGCCTCCTCCCGCAGGCTCCACGCGGCCCGAGGAGGCACTTGCCTCTCGCAGCTCTGACCTGCGTGCCGCGGCCCTTGCCCGTGTGCACGCGGCTGAGCGGCCTGTGCTGACCGCAGGGCCTTTGCGGGGCAGAGCCTGAGGGCCGCCGGCCCCCTCGCCCTCCTCACCCGCCGCCCCCGCTCTCAGCTCTGGCCGGCTCTGTCCTGGCTCCCACGCCTGCTGGCTTTGGATATCACTCTTTCTGGCTGACCATTTCCCTGCATTTCCTGGTCTCTCTGGCATCCCTTTCAACAGTAAACACTTCCTGAGTTCCGCCGGGCTTAGGTCAGAGAGCCTGACAGTGGCCAGGAGCTGCCAGCAGTCCTGGCCGGGAGAAGGGCTCCCGCCCTGCCCTTGGTCGCTGGTCTGTCTGCCTCCTCCACGGCAGCCACTCCGGGGCTTCCCAGAGGCCCAAGGGCTGCCTGCCAGACCGCTCCCCCCTGGGTGCCCTGGCCCGGAGGCCTGCCCTCCTCGCACACACCGTGGGATCCTGGAGGCCGGGTCGGGGGGTCACTGCACCTCTTTGTCACCCAGGCCACCAAGAGGCTTGAAGAGCTGTTCCCGCATCTGAAGCTAGAGGTGGGGTGGTGGGGACCCCAGGTGAAGTGCTGGCCAACTCACCGCTGTGAGCGCCCGGCCCTGACCACTCAGCTGGGGGCCTGCGGCAGGAGCCTGCACCCTCCCTTCATAGCTTTGACTCTCTCCCCTGAGGTGTCAACGTGGGAAGTGGAGACTGTGGTCCGGCCACTTGGGTGGCCAGGTAGTACCCAGGCCAGATACCCCAGCGGTGTCCAAATTCTTGCAGCACCTTTCCCTTTGGGGCCAGGCACCCCTCCCCCCGGGGCAGACCTTCTCACTTGACCTGAGTGGCCAGGTGGACACCACCTCCCCTGGGGGCTCATTTGCGTCAAATATTCTGTTCGTCTCTGCGGTGTTTTAGGAGGGAGCCGGCCCATCGGGTGGGCCAGCTGGGGGTCCGTGAATGTCTGTTTAACCAACTGAAAATTCCCTTGGAAAATCCTCAGGGCAGAACAGAGCTGGAGATGCAAAGTAGGAACAGGGAAATGACAATGCGTCTTTGTGTCTTGGGAACAGAATGTAGCTGTAACCCTCCTGAGGGGAAGCCGACACCCTCAGGCTTCTGGAAGGGGTGTCTGAAAGAACAAGTTAAAACTTTGAGGCCTGGCTCTCCCAGTCCCCTCTGGGCAGGTGGCTCTTGCAGGGGAAGGAAGGCTGGGGGAGTAGGGGGTGGTTGTGCCCTGCACCCCCTCCTATGCCAGCCCCAGGGGTGGACCAGAGTGGCCTTCAGGGTCTGTGCCCTGGGGGAGTGGCTGCTTGGGGCATGCTGGCCTTAACTCTCAGGAGCCACTAGGGACCAGAGGGGAAGGAGGGGACTTACAGTCATCAGAAGCCCCCCAACATTTGAAGGGTACCCTTTCTGTGCAGCAGGTGGTCCAGTAGCTGGGGGCCAGGAGACAAGAGGGGCCCTGGCAGGCTGGCTTTGGGGGGGCGGGGGCGGGTAGTTTCAAGCAGAACTCCCATGGGGAGGCCTTGGCTTCTTTGCCAGGAGCAGAGGAAGTGGCTCTGGGCACCCTGGGGTGCTGCCCTCCTGCAGCTGGAAGAAGATGGGCAGGCGGGGTCCTCACAAGCCCTTTGCGTGGCCACTGAGGTGCCTCTGAGCTGAGCCCAGAGCCAGCTTCCCAGGCTCTGTCTTGGGGTGGAGACAAGCCAAGCACTGCGCGGTCGTCACTGCAAACAGCACGTTGCAGCCTGACTCTCATCCCATGCCAAGCCCAAGAAGAACCAACAGACTTTTTTTTAATAAAAAAGATCAATGAAAAATTTATTTATAAATTTTCCACGCTGGGCTACAAGTCTATATCGTACACTCAGGAATGTGCTGCGACTTCATCCAGTTAGAAGTGATCACACGGGGACCCACACACAGCTTCCACATAAGCCTAGAGTCTTAACATTAATTAACATAATTAAAAAGGTATTTGCATCTAGAAAAAAATATACAGAAAAACTCCTCTTGGAGTAATCTGTGCCTCAGTTTCAATGTCTGCTTTTCACTGACATTATCAATATATTCTTCTCACACAAGGTTTTATAAAAAGCCACAGATGACTGCCCAAATCTGACCAGCCACGCACAAAGGGCCTCCACCCACCTGTGTCCTCAAGTGCTCCCCATTTTTGCAGGAAGGGTCAGCAGCACTTCTACCCTGGGGAAGCCTCATTTAAATTTGAATAATTCAGCCTCCCTTTTATTTCTCAGGATCAAAACAACAAGGGGTGTGGGGTTGCATAGAAAATTGGAATCTCGGAGACCAGGAAGGGCGCCTTTCGGGACTAAGAGTGACGCAGAGGGAAGGCCTCCGGCCTGGGTCCTCGCGCGGCCCCTCCCGCCTGGCTGGGCTTTCGGATTCGAATCGGGTCCTGGAAGCTCTGGGAGGCTGAAGAGGGGTAAAGGGGCCCTTCAGCTCACTCGGCAAGTAGCACAAGAGATTCACAGTCTTACAGGCATTTTATAAAAATATAAATATGGGTACAGTTGCCTTCACAACGCTGGATACAACGCCCTTTAAAATTGGGTCTATAACCAAGATTCAAAAAATACACCTAAAACTTGGCTTAAAATATGTTAATATTTTATATTGTCATAAATGTTATGACATTTAATTGTGGCAAATCCATTTACTTTTTTAAAAAAAGTGTGCAATCGACTGTTAACTATAATAGAACTAACTAGAAAGGTTGATCCCTACCTCCGTCACCGCCACACCCGAGCACCCAGGCTCCCACGGAAGCTCTGCAAACCGGCAGGCTTGGCGGATGGCGACCTCTCACCAGAGAAGGGGGAGGGGGACCCGGGGCTTCCAAAACTCACGCGGAATCTTGTGTGTGAGAGGGGAAGGCGGGGCGGGCGGAGGAGGGGAGGTGAGGGGGAGAAGCCCGAGGGGACGGAGCAGCGCGGGGGAACCATCAGGCCGGCGGTATTTTCAGTGCAACCAAGAAATGACAAGACTCAAGTTTTTAGTTTAAAGACTAAAAAAAAAAAAGTACATCTCCCCGCTCACCCCCCGCTTAACCACATTGACCACGCACAATATTTTCCAAACACAAAATTCAGGCGCACAAACATCACCCACAAATATGCACACACGTGATAAATAGTTTAGAGCCCCGGGAACGGCAGAGCGTCTCCTCCGTCGCGCGTCGGCCACGGGTCCTTCCACCTTCGGGAGAAAACATTTCGAGCAGGAGGATCCGGTATCTCGGGATTCCGAACTTGGTGGTGGCGAGACTCAAATTTCAAAGGGGCTGGGGCTCGCGCTCCTCCCCCACCCGCGCGGCGGCGGGCAGGGCCGTGGGAAGCGCCCCGGCCGGTCCCCGGTGGCCGCGGGGGGAGGCGGCCCCGGCCCCCGGTCTCGGGCGTGCGCGGTCCCCGGTGGGCACGAACGTGCGCGCCGGACTCGTGGTGGCCGCGGGCGCCGAGGGCCGGGCGCACACCGAGGTAGTTGGCGGGAAGGTACAGCAAGGAGGACGCGCTCGGGGCCAGCGTGCGGGCCGGGGTCTGGACCGGCATCACCGACCGCCGCCGGAGTACTTGGCCTTGGTGATGAGATAGAGCACGATGTCCTGGTGGCCGCCGAACGCGGCGATGTGTAGCGCGCTCCAGCCGTCGCGGTTTGCCAGGCGGATGTCCGCGCCAAACTTGACCAGCAGTTTCACTAGCTCCAGGTTGCCGTCGATGACCGACTGGTGCAACGCAGTCTGACCCTCCGGCCCGAACGAGTTCACGTTGAACTCGCAGTTGGTCATGTTTTGCAGCAGCGACTGCAGCTCCTGCGTGTTGCCTTTGCGCACGGCCTCCTGGAAGATGCGCTGCGTCTGCGGCGCCGAGCAGGTGGACAGCTCGGCTTGGCTCATGCTTCCGCCAGGCGCGGGCCGCGGCTCAGCGCGGGCGGCGGCTTCGGCGCGGGCCCCCGGCTGCCTCGGGGCGCGCCTCGGCGCATGGAAGTCGCGGCGCCCCCGGGCCCTGCACGCCACCCCTGGGCGCTCCGGGCGCTGGGGGCCGGGGGCCGCCGCCTCGGGACCCCCGCCACATCCAGCCGCGCCCGGCGGGCGGGCGACGGGGGCGGGCGCTGCGTCTGCGGGGCCGGCCGGGCCGGGGCGGGGCGGGGCGGCGGCGCCGCGTTCCCGGTCCCTGCGCTCTCGGGCTGAGGCTCCACGCGCCTCCCCAGGCGCCGCTGCACTCGCCCGCCCGCCGCGCCAGGACGCCTTTTACCTCCTTTATATTTGCATGACAATAGGCGCCCGTGACGCGCGCACCCGCCGCCCGCCCATTGGGCAGCGCTCGCGCGGGGCGGGGCCGCGAGGGGCGTGTCCGGTTGGGCGGCCGCGCGGCAGGGGGCGCTGGCCGCCAGCGGCGCGGGGCTGGGAGCCAGGTGGCCGCGGGTGGGCGGGGGTCCGAGTCTCCGCCGCCGCCCCTCCCACGCTCCCTCTAGACACCCGGGGAATTCCAAGCTCTGTGCGCGGACAGACCAGGTCCAGCCCGGGGCCTAGCGCGACCCCGAGGGGCGCGAGGGCCGCCTCCTCTGGTTGGGTCTTTGCTGGCATCTCAGACTGCGGGGGGGCGGGGCTCGGGTAGAGACCCCCAGTCTCGCTCCCCGCTCCTGGAGTGCTGGTCGCGGGCACTCCACGTCCCCAGCACCCCAGGCGCTCGCAGGGACGAGGCTCGCCCAGCCCGGCCCGTGGGACACACTTCCCCCAGAGCGACAACTCTAGGACGCCTCGGGCCTGTGACCTCAGCTGCGCGGGGCCTTTCCACGGCAGAACCGCCCCCCGGGGCCTCGGTCACCCCGTTAGCTCCCTAACTTGACTGGCAAGAGGAGCCAGGCCCTGAGGTTTTCTCAGCACTGCCCCAGCAGAATCGAGTCTGTGGCCCCGGGGCTGGGGTTGGCCTGGCAGTCAGCCACTCCGCCCTGGAGGGGCCTGCCTCCTCTCCGGGCCGACCCCATCAGCAGGAACTGGGCCAGGTGAGGCCTGGCCAGGTGAGCGGCCCCAGGTGAGGTGCCAATGCTGTGCTGAAAGGGAACTCTGAAATGACTCACTTCTAAACAGTAAACCTGCTTTTTATTGACACTCTTAACACTGCCGCCAAATTTCCTCATTAGAATTTCACAGTTTATAGCTCTGCTGTGGTCGTTGGAAATTAAGGAGGAATGAACCTCAGAGCAGTCGGCCCGGGGCGACTGCAGCCACTGGAATTCCTTCAGAGGCCGCTGGGGATTCCCAGGAGGCAGCTGGGGAGACCACCCTGTTAGGCCCTGTTTGGTGATGAACTGGGTGGGTGTCTGTCCCGTGTCCCCTAGGCCTGGAGACCCACGTGGGTGAAGCGCCCGCCCCCGCCCTGTGACCTGGGAGGAGCCACAGCCAAACCTCGGAACGAACTCGGCAAGACCTCAGACCCTGGCTGCCCCACCTCGGGGTCCTTCCGGTGGCCAGGGCCACCCAGGCCCCTGCCTGTTCTTCCTGAGGCTGGCGGTCCAGCCCCCTGCTCAGCTCAGCTCTGCTCCCCAGTACGCAGGTGGTTATGCCCTGAGCTGAGCACAGACCCAGCCCAGGCCCTGTGCTCAGCCTGGCCCTGGCGTGACTGGGGTGCTGCTGCTTTGGGGAGCCCCTCCTTTGCCCACTTATCCTGCAAAGATACGTCCCCTGGGCCCAGTAAGGGGGTCTGGGGTCAGTGGCTGCTGAGCTGACGACCTTGAGAGTGGGGATCCCTGCCCACCTCCAGCCGCCCTCCCCACCAGCCCGAGAGACGAGTTGGTTGGGAGAGAGGCCCATGTCTGCCTCCAGAGTGGGAAGGGGTGACCCTGTGCAGTGCCGAGACCTGCGGGGGCCCCAGCCACCCCGCACCCGCTCCCCGGAGTGGCACAGAGGGGCTGGCACTCTGAGGGCGGGTCTGCGTCTGTGCTTTTTGTGTGTCTGCCGGGCCCGGCTGCGCCCAGGCCCATCCCCAGAAGGTGGTGGGTTCACAGAGCGAGGCCCCACCCAGGTGGGGGGCTCAGGCCCCCCTGGCCTGGAGAAGAGCGTCTGGAGACCCCGCTGGGCCCGGGAGCAGAGCCTGGGAGAAAAGTCCCATTGACACCGCAGCGGGCGGCAGACAAAGGGGCCCTGTGAACTCAGTGTGGGAACGCGAGGCCACCACCTCGGGGCATGAAATTGTCAGCTCGGTGCCCCCGGGCAGGGACGGTGTGGCCAGAGAGGCCACAGGAGCCCAGCCTGAGGTCACTGCCGCGCCCCCCCACCCCACCCCCAGCCTCAGAGTGCGGGTCAGACAGGTGTAGCCCTGCAGTCACCCAGCCCCCAGCCCTTTGCTCATTTGTGGGGCCAGGGTGATGGCCACCCTGTCCGCGGGGAGCCCATGGCTCCTGCTCCTCCGTGGCTGAGGGGAACTGTGCTCGGGGTGGCTGTGGTCCACACACCGTGCGCCCGGAGCTGCCCGTCCAAGGACAGGACCAGAGAGGGGCGTGGGGGGCGCTGGCTCCAGGAAGCACTTCCTGATGTTTGCTGAAGGACATGTCCAAAAGGAGGACATTTGTTCCAAATGATGTGCTGGGCGGGGAGGCGGGGGTTGGGGACCCCGCCAGACCCTGTCCTGGGGCTTGAGAAGCTCCTGATGTCTGCGGCATTGGTGATGTCATTTCCACAAATAGACAAGGGGCTCACTGGCTGGGAAGGAGAAGCCCTCAACCTCGGATCTGGGGTGACAGGCCCAACGCTGACTACAAGGCTAAACCGACGTCCTCCTGGGAGCTGGCCCAGGGGTGCGACCCCAGGAGGAGTCCAGGGTTGGAGGACAGCCTCCTCCCCCGGGGGACCCCTTTCCTTTAGAGGCTCAGAGCAGTGGGTGACAGGAAGCCCCCCCCCAACCCGGGCTGGGGAGGGCTGGGTGGGGCGGCGGGGAGGACAGCGCGGGAGGGGCACTGGCCGGAGCCAGGAGGCCGCGGCCACCTTAACGTGCTCGGCAGGGGAGGGAGGCTGAGCAGGCTGCGGGCCGCGGGGCGGGGCTTCTAGCTAATTCATTAAAATGTGTCGGGGAGCGTGGGAAAGAGGAGAGCGTTTCTTCCCAGCAGCCCAGACACCTGGTAGAAGGGCGCGAGGATAGAGATCAAATAACAAACACCAGCCCCGGGCCAGCGGCCGCGGAGGAAGGAGCCCGGGGCAGGAACTGCGGCAGACAGTCCCCGAGGCCTGGCACCCGGGCGCAGCCCACCCTGTTGGCCCAGCATCTGACCCCTAGCCCAGAGCGGGCCGGGCGGTCACGGGGCACGGAGGGTGCTTCCCGCAGGCCGAGGGCCAGGGAGGGGGCCGGGGCCTGGACGGGCTAGCAGTGAGCCTGTGAGTCTGGGAGTCCCTGGACGAATGGACGGACGGACGCAGGCAGCCGGCCTGGCAGCAGAGGGCGGGGCCACGAGGCCTGAGGACCGGGTCCTGCTCAGCTGTCCTCTCCTCTCTGTGGAGCGCTGGGCGGGGCTGGGGTGGACCCGCGTGGGGGCCTGAAAGGACATGGCTCGGCCCCCCGAGCCTGTGGCCCTGGCCTCTGTCTGTCTGGGGTTAGAGTCAGGGCAGAGTCCCCAGGACGCAGCCGGCTGGGACCCCCCCACCCTGCTTCCTCTTAACCCTGCGGGGGAGGAGTGGTCGGGGCTGCTGTCCCAGGACAGGACGTGGGGCCGGAGGTCCTGCTCCTGGAGGCGGGACCCTAGCTGCAGAGGGTCCCCTGGCACCCCTGCTCAGCCCAGGCCCAGTGACCTCAGGGGAGAGGGGAGCCGGGTGGGCAGAGCGGCCCCAGCACACCGCCCTCAACCCCAGGGGGCTGACCCATCTGTGGATTGTGCCCCGGCCCAGCGGGGCCCAGTGTTGCTGGGGGCTGAGTGGGTCCGCGCCCAACACGTGGCGGGGGCTACACCCGGGGGGGCTCAGAGGCCACGGCCGTCCCTGGTGTGGTCAGGAACACGGGGGCGGGGCAGAGGGTGCAGACGCCCGGCCCCGCGGCCAAATCTCTGCTGGTTTCCGCTCTGGGCAGGAAGGACAGGAAAGGGATGTGGGCCAGGGTGGGTGCGCATTCCTGGGGCTGAGCCAGGGGGAGGCAGGCGAGGGCAGGCCGTGGTCTGGGCCCAGGCCCGCTGCTCACATGAGCCCCCCTGGGGTCAGCGCGGGGTCTGAGCCTGTGTCTCCCTGGGCGAGAGGGCAGCTACCTCCTTCCTTGTGACAACGAGGCTCCAACGCACGTGTATTCAGGGCCTTCTACATGGCGAAGACCTGAGCGGGGTCATAGCCTGTCTGTCCCCCAGGACCACCTCCTGTGCTCGCTGGAGTCTGACGTCCCAGGGGAGTCCCATGGCTGGCTTCGCTGGGGGAAAGCAGGGAAGACCCTGTCCCAGGGGCCTGGGGCCCTGGCCCTCGTCCTGGGGGGGGTGCCTGGTGGAGGAGGCGATGGGAACGGCCACAGCACAGTGGGGGGACCCCGACCTCCCACCCACTGAGCTCCAGCAGGTTTGGGGGGCCACCTGGGTCCAGCCCTGAGGCTGCGAGGGGATGGCGAGCGCAGGGCGTGGCGTGAGCGGAGACCAGAGGAAGGAGCCCACAGCCACCACCTGTGCAGCTTCTGCACTTTTACTCCAGGCAGCCTGGGCCCCTCTCTCAGGAGGGGCCGCTGGCTGGGCAGGGGGCGCCCTCCAGGACCTCTTGGAAGTTGCTGGTGACTCGGGCCAGGTGGGAGCCTTCCCAGAAGACTTTGCCGCAGCCGGTGCAGCAGTAGAAATGCTGCAGCCCGGGCCGCCGCAGCACGCCCGCTGGGACGCCCGCCAGCTGCAGCTGGGTGCCGTTGGCCAGCGTGGCTGGCACGCGGGTCTGCAGGTCCGTGTCCTCCAGCCAACGGCAAGGGGGGTCGTAGGCGCAGCCCTCGGGGGCCTCCTCCAGGGCTGAGCCTGGACATGGAAGCGGCCACCCTGAGCCCCTCCCTCAGGCAGGCAGCCCCCATCCCACACTGTTCGGCGGCTCCTCCCTCAGCCCCCAGCCGCCCGCCCCCGGCCTCTCCTACCAGGGACCCTCTGGGTCACAGGGGACTGGCCTCTTTCTTCCCAGCCTTCCCTGGCACTGCCTTCCCCTTGGAGCACAGGCCCATTCCCTCTCCCCCATCCTGGGATTCCAGATGCTGGGGCTCCTTGTGTCCCTGGTGGGTGGCCCCAGGGCTCACCTGTCTCCTGCTCACCATCACTGTGGGGGGCCTCACTGCCTGTCAATCAAGGACATCAGGGTCAGTCCCAGGGAAGGGCGGGTGGCCCCAGCACCCACGAGGCACCTCCGAGTGCCCAGCCCCCAGTGCCCACAGGGAGAGGGCAAAGGGCAGGGGGCCAAGACTCTCTGTGCCAGCCCAGTTCCCTCCCATGGGAACTCACACCTTGGGACATTCTTGGGGCTCAAAGGTCCTTGGGAAACAAGTTCTGGGCACAAGATCGGCTGATTAGGGCACTTGGGGGCCTGAGAACCGTGGGCCGGGCGGGGCGGGGGCGGCCCATCCGTGGTGATGAGCAGATAAGCCCACTGCCAAGGAGTGAGTTTCGCAACCAGCCAGCACTGGGCGGGGTGGGGCGGGCAGGGGCCCAGGGGACCTCGGGGCCTCGGGGTGCAGGAGAGACCCCGAGAGAGGCCCACCCCCGCGGAGGGCCCTGCCAGCAGGTGGGAGAACAGGCCCCAGGCCCGCTGACCCTGGTAATTTGCTCGGCAAACATCTCCCTGCAGATGGCTCCAGATTAACTGCAGCCGGAGTCTGAATGGAGGCAGCCCCCCCCAGTCCCGCTGCCTCTGTGGGGCCCAGCGAGGCCACGACCTTAGGCCTCACCTGACAGCCCGAGGGTTGCTGCCCAGGGCCAGGCTGAGCCTCTGGTTGGGGTGTCGGGGGCCCCCTATGGCGGCCACTGCTCATGCCCCGCCCCTCCCCCCCTCACCTCAAGCAAGTCGCAGCCACACTCTGGAGAGCAGAGAGCTGCCCAGCGCTGGACACTGGTCACCACTAGCACTCACCCACCGTGTGTGGCCCCGAACCTTCGAGGGATGCGGGCAGGACAGGAGCGGCCAGCAGAGAAGACGGCACCCGGGCACTGACGGTGCAGAGGCGCCCGGGGCGCCCTGGGCTCAGGCTCCCCCTTGGCGGTCCCAAGAGGCCCTTCTTCCATTCCCGCCCACCCGCCACGCAGGGAAGCTGAGGCTGGGCTCCTGATCTGGATGCCCGGGGCTCACCCACCTTCCCGGGCACCCAGGTTCCCCAACGTTCAGATTGCTGCTTGGCAAGGCCTGTGATGCAAGGGCCAGCAGGTGAACATGTGTGCGCACATGGCTGAGCGTGCACAGGCAGGCGTGTGAGCATGCACGTGCTGCTGAGCATGTGTCTTTGCCTTCAAGGTGCACGTGTGTGTGTCTGCGTGTACACTCCACGCCTGGGGCAGGGTGACTGAGCAGGGCCCACTGGGGAGAAAGCAGGGGCCACGACCCCAGGGGCCCCGAGGGCCTGGGGTCCCAGCCCCCTTCCTGGCCCCAAGCACTGGCTCCCCTGCCTGTGGGCACTGCCCTGGCAGCCTGAGTGGGCCGGCCCCCGGAGCACCCAGCGGTGGGGCCACCACCCACAGACCCCAAGGAGCCCCACTCACCAGCACCACCGGGGCCTCCTGGGTGGACGCTGAGCTGCACCAGCTGCTTCATCACGTCCTTGGAGACCCTCAGGTACTGGTCACAGTTGCAGGCCTGGGGAGCAGAGGAGGCGCTGGGGCCGCGGGGCGTTCTCGAAGCCCCCCGCCCCCAGCCCTGTGCTCCCTGTGGTTCCGGCCCGGCTCAGGGGGTTTCACAGACACATGACGTTTCCCTTCCTCTCGCCGCAGGACGCGGGGCACACCACCTCCGGGGAGCCCTCCCGCACTGCATGGGCTCCAAGCTGGCCCTGGGCGGCCTCTTCCAACTCCTGAGCCCCGGCAGGACTCTGCCACCACCCAGCGGTCCTCCCCAACCCCAGAGCCAAGCCTGGTCCCCTGAGGGCTCAACACTGGTGGGGGACGGAGGCCCAGCATTAGAAAGCCGAGGGGGCGGCCCAACAGCTGCTCTGCCTCCTGAGCCCATCTTGGAGCCAGCCAGGCCCATTCCGGAGTCCACGCTTCTCAGCAACACCTGGCCCCACCGGCCCCCGGGGGCTGGCACCGTCTGGAGCCTGCTGGGCACCGAGTGTGTGCGGGCAGGAGCCCAGACACGCAGGATACTGGTCTAGCAGTGAGCTCCCGTGAAGACCTTGGCTCAGCCCCGCCAACCTCACCATCCCAGGGGTGGGATGGGCCTCCCGATGCAGCCACCCCATCACTTCATGATGGCCACTGCCTGGCAGGGGTCTAGACACAGGATTCCCAGGGGCAGGCAAGGTGGGCCAAGCAGGACGGCGGGGTGAGGGCGGGGGGCTGACCGGCTCCCAGATGGGCACACAAGGCTTCCTGTCAGTCAGGGGGTGAGCCGGTCCACGGGAAGAGGGTGCCTGTTTGGTGATCCTGGCACCCCCCTCACCTGGTGAGCCCCATCAGTCCCTGGAGGGGGAGTGCCTGGGGCGGGCAGCGGCGGGGGACCCTGGAGCCACGGTGGGGGGCTCCTGCACCGCCCACACACACCCTCTTTTCCCCCAAAGCCTTTCATCACGGAGCTCGGCCTCCAGCATCACGGCCAGGGGTGCCACAGCAGGTGGCACAGTAGGTGCCAGACGGGCAGGGCCACCTCTGGGGGGCGAGGCCGATTCCCCAGAGCCCCCCGGAGGGCCTCCTCTCCCCCGGCCAGACTCCAGCGCAGGGAGACACCTGGGTGCTTCTGCCTTCTCATCTCAGATACCAGGGCCGAGCGGGCAGGAGCGTGGGCAGGGCCCGGCTGCATGTCAGGCTGGCGGTCACCCCAGGCCCAGCCGGGGAGGAGCTGCAAAGAGGCGGGCCAGCTGGCCTCCCGGCTGGGCTGCCTGCCCAGGGCTGGGCTCTCCCTGCCCAGGCCCCCTGAGGGTCAGCACCAGCAGGTGCGGGAGCCCAGTGGGGTGGGGTCCGCTGATGGGGTCTGCGGCCTTCCCAGCACCCAGTGGCGCACGCTGGGGCGGGGCGCCAGCTCACGCTGAGTCACGAGCAGACAAACGCCCGGTGCCCCGCGAGGCCCGCCCCACCCTCGGGAAGCGCTGGTGCCGGTTTTCCCACGGCCGCTGCCCACGGCCGGGCCCGGCGGTCACCCCTGCCCCCACCGCCACGCCCGGCTGGAAGAGCCGGTTCTGAGCCTCCCGCCCGCCCGCCCCGTCGTGCGGCCCCCATCTGTAGGAGGCATCCCTGTCCAGCACAGGGTCCAGCCGCCCTTGCCCGGTGCCCCAAGCAGAGCCGGGGGCGCAGCGCACACCCAGTCAGAGGCTGACAGCCCGTCCCCCTGCCCCACAGGGGAGGATGGAGCCGCCGACCCCCTGTTCTCAAGGAGCTTCCCAGGGGCTGAGGAACCTGCTCACAGTCACCCATCCGCTGGCCGGGCACCCCTGCCTGGCAGGGGCCTCACCCCGCTGTGCGGGTGTAGGCAGGTGGTGTCTGAGCCGGGCCCACTCCCTGCAGGGGCTGTGCAGACCCCAGGCTCGGACGTCAGCGAATCTGGGCAGATACCAGCAGGGGGCTGTGGGTGCCCTGGACAGTGTGGTCTCCTGGGTCCCTCGAGGTCTCTGGGATCCCATCCAGGCTGGGGGCCTAAGGGCAGGGTGGGCCTCCACCCCCAGAGCCTGGCCGGGCGGGTGAGTGGGGGCAGGAGGGATGGGCAGGCTCCTGGCTCCCCTGTCTTGGGGTCCGCCTGGGCCTGGCTCCCACGGCGCCCAGGCTGTCTGGAGCTCATGCCCGCTGAGCCGCCCGACTCGGCAGGAGTGAGGACCTCCTAGGCAGGGGCTGGAGCCCACTGTCAGGGAGGCTGCCTCCCGGGGGTGAGGACACCAGCAGGGACCAGCCCAGGGGGCTGGTGGTGGCCCAGGACCCAAAGCCGGGCCAGCATGGCCGGGCAGCCCACCCTCAGCCCTAGGAGGGCGGCGAGGGGCTGCTCCGGCCACTTACTTCCCTGGGAGGCACCCCAGCCCTCGATGGGCCTGGTGGGTCTGTGAGCCTCTGAGACAGAGCTGGGGAGGGACAGCTGAAGAGGCACTGGGAGCCTGTCCGCGAGCAGGCCTGCTCTCAGCTCTGAGCCCAGGGACCCCGGCTGCATCCAGCAGCGCCTGCCGAGAGGGGGTCACGGGTCTGTCCCGAGCTGTGTGTCCCCAGGCATGCCTGCTCCCACCAGCCCTGGGCGCACACACGGTGGGGGCGGCTGGTGCACTGGTGTCAGGGGCCAGGGAGGGCTGCCACCGTGGGCCTGGCCAGGCCACAGAAGCCAGCGGGAAGGCCAGGCCTGCATGCCAGGGGCCTTACCCTTACCCATGCTCCTGCCCACGGGCTGCTGCAAACTGCCTGTGAACAACCTTAGGCCTCCACCAGTCCTGGGCCAAGTCGGGGGCTGGTTGGGGGGCGTTGGGCCACACCGGGGACCGCCGGGGCACAGGGCATGATAGAACCAGCTCTCCTGAGGGGGCAGGGCCACAGGCTGGGAGCCTAGTGGAGGGAGCCACTTCCGAGGACCTGGGCAAGGCTCCCTGCCCTGCCAGCAGCAGGCCGGGACTGCGCTCCCGGTAGGCTGGCGCCCTGGGGACCTCCACAGGCCCTGTGCCCACCCCCAGCGGGAGCTAGGCCCTCCAGGATGGGAGATGCGGTCAGTCTGGTACCCAGGCCCTGGAGGCCCCACAGGCAGGGAAGATGGGGGCTTGGGCTGAGAAGCTATGACATGCTCTAGAATAATGCCCCTTAGTGCTCATTTAGAGCAAATTTACAGCAAAGCATAAAAAAGTAGAAAAAAATAAACATCACTTTTACACAAGCACATGTGGGCGGGGCTCGCAGATGCCTCCCACTCTGCATGGGGTGGGGGTCACAGACGCCTCCCACTCTGCGTGGGGTGGGGGTCACAGACGCCTCCCACTCTGCGTGGGGCGGGGGTCAGGGACGCCTCCCACTCTGCGTGGGGCGGGGGTCACAGACGCCTCCCACTCTGCGTGGGGCGGGGGTCACAGACGCCTCCCAATCTGCATGGGGCAGGGGTCGCAGATGCCCCCACACTCTGCGTGGGGCGGGGGGCGCAGACGCCTCCCACTCTGCGTGGGGTGGGGGGCGCAGACGCCTCCCACTCTGCGTGGGGCGGGGGGTCGCAGACGCCCCCACACTCTGCGTGGGGCGGAGGTCACAGACGCCTCCCACTCTGCATGGGGCGGGGCTCGAGGATGCCCCCACGCTCTGCGTGGGGCGGGGGGCGCAGACGCCTCCCACTCTGCACTTGGCAAGCGTCTCCCACTCGTGTCAGAGGCCTGGGGGGCACAGCAGTTCTCCGTTGCAGGATACCAGTGTGTTCCCAGGCCCTTGACCCCATTTGGTGCCTGCCAGGCGCCACCCGCCCCGCCATCCTTGCCTGAGGTCCTGAGACCGCTGGGTCTAGAGGCCTCCCTGGGCCAGTTTGTGCACCATGACCCCCCAGAGCCGCCCCAACAAATGGTGATGGGCGCAGGGACAAAGGGCTAGTATGAAAGGCCCCTGGGGGGGCGGGGCGGGCCTGACACCCCGTGCGTGGACAGGCGGCTGCGGAGGAAGCGATTAGGCGCTGCCTGGGTCTGCCCTCCACCTCGCTCTCCCACGCTGTCCGGTGGCTCTGGAGGGGCCCTGGGTCATCTGTCAACTCGGAGCACCCAGGCAGGGCTTCGAGCCTCCTGCCAGACCAGCGGCGGCCCCCGCAGGGGGTTGGGAACCCTGCTGCCCCTCCCCCACCCCGGCTGAGCCCTCAGACGCTGGGGGGCGACCCCCCTCCCCTCCGGCACATGTGGGGGCAGCAGGGCCCAGCCTAGGCCTCCGAGGAGGTGTGGGGCTGGGGTGGGGCCTGCTCGGGGAGGTCTGAAACCCCAGCCAGGCCTTTCCTGACCCGTGAAGCAGGCTTCAGCCCCCCACCGGTGCCTCTATCCCCGCTGCTGGAGACCCAGGCCAGCAGCCCCACGGGGCCGCTTGGTGCCGGCTCCGCCCCCCAGCTCAGGAAGGTCAGTTCCCACAGGCCCTGTCGGCACCCCGGGGGACAGGGCCAGGTTAGGGGCCGGAGACCCTGACGGGGCAGGTCTGGGCCGGTGAGTGGACCCCTCTCTGCACGAGGGTGCCTTGGAAGCACCCAGGCCCCCGGGGGAAAAAGCACCCGCCTCAGGGCGGCTGTGTGTGTCCGTGTGTGTCCCTGTGTGCGTGTGTGCACGTGTCTGTGCGTGTGTCCCTGTGTGCGTGTGTGCACATGTGTCTGTGCGTGTGTCCGCGTGCACGTCGGTCCATGTGTGCACATGTGTCTGTGTGTGCACGTGTGTGTGTCCCTGTGTGTGCACGTGTGTGCACACATGTGTCTGTGTGTCAGGTGTCAGGTGAGGACATGCGTCTGCAGGAGTGGAGGGGCCCTTCTGTGCACGCACACTCGGGCTGCAGAGATGTGTCCCGGCCTCCATTGTGGGGCGGGAGGAGTCGTGACGGGAGCGCTGCCCCTGCAGGCGGATGGGCAGGGGACGGGCACTAGGGACAGTGAGAGGAAAGCAGGTCTGGTGCCAAGGAAGATCAGCACGGGTCCGAGAAGCAGCCTGGACGACAGGGGCCTGACTGGGGGGCAGC